GCCATTTCCATATGTGCCTGAAATCATGATGAATATTTATTTGGCGTAAACCGATCATTCCTGGGTGGATTTAGGTGTTTGCGATTTTGCAACAGGGACAGACTGTAATATTAGGTAAGTGTTAGTACAAATTTGTGGGTACCTGTAAAGATCAATATATGGCTATTTGGAGTTATAGCTACTATTGCTGCAGCAATTCTGAGGTAATGCCTAATAAACTATTAAAGTGTATGTAAATAATCTTTAACATTAAATCTGCCTCTGGACACCTGTGAAACAGCTTATCTGGTCTCGAACACCAATTTAAACATTTTACCAAATGACAGCATGAAAGAACAAAGATGATGTCATTACCTTTTTCAGAATTCCCTCCTTTCTGGATCAGGGAAGGTCCCTTGCTGTTCTAATATCTATAGCCATAGAGATCCAGAGCTACCCAGATAGATCTCCTCTTATGTCTTCTTGAAAAACTTTAGTAGGTTTGATAACTGAAATGATACCCAGTTTGCTGAATGACCTGATAAAAGGAACACCTTGGAATTTGAAGGTCTGCGATAAGCTTCATATTACCTTCATAGCTAATTGTTTTTTGGCAGAGCCAATATCTGGACACTTTTTTGAATATGTGCCCTCCTTCACCGTCTGCTTCGTAAAAGGTTTTGACCTGATGTGAACAGCTGATAGGAACCTAAAAAATCATAGCATGCCTACATCTCTTACAGGTTCCGTGGTCCACTGTGGTGAGTGAGGTGCTTTGTCAATCATGGCCAGGCTCACAGAGGAAAGACAATATTTAGATAAAGGGCCACTAAAGTTTCTTGACTTCATTAAAGATGTAATCAAACTTCAGTGTTCAAGAAACACAGATAAGAAACATCTGCTTTAGTACAAATTGTGAGTACCACTGACTTTATAATGGTTTCAAGGTCCTTGTTATCAAGCAGATCAGCTAAATGTTGCATCATCCACACTGTCCATGATGTGGTTTTGATTGTTGTTCCAAAAATAGGATTTGATTTAAAGCTTGCTGGCGAAAATCATTGTTTTAACCTGTTGCATGCATATTATATGGAGGAAGTTGTTGGGTTTTTTGTTAATGCAGCCTTTGTTTTTCAATTCTTTTCTGACTGCATGGAGTTTAAGGAGGTTGTTGACATCCATTAGTAAAGTTTCTTATAATTTGCTGTGATGATATCAAATGATTCCATTGGTACTTTGAAACGAAATCTGGAGCATAAAAGTGAATAGATGGCTACACAAGCCTATACCTTAGAATGAATTCAAGGGACCGCACTGACAGACAAAAAAAAAAAAAATAAGTATTAAAAATTTAAGTAACTGGATCTTATTTATTTATTTGTAAAAAGCACATTTGGTATTTATTCAGCAGTGAGTTGCAGTGAGCTGTTCAACTGCAAAACATAGGTACAAAAAAACAAAGTGGAGTAGTTTGGACCTTGCCAACTCAAAAAAAACTATTTAAAAAAATAAAATATATATATATATATATATCACAAATCAACAGGAAGCAAGTGTCAGTGCCTAGCATTAATGTAATATATAGATATAGTCCTCAGTTATATTATGGTGTAATCAAGCTCATTAAGTTTCATGTATTGTAACATTCCCTATTTTTTCTATTTGGGTATGATATGCTTGGTAGCACCCATGCTATTTCTCTATTTCCTATTTTCATTAAAGGACCACTCTAGGCACCCAGACCACTTCAGCTTAATGAGGTGGTCTGGGTGCCAGGTCCAGCTAGGGTTAACCCATTTTTTCATAAACATAGCAGTTTCAGAGAAACTGCTATGTTTATGAATGGGTTAAGCCTTCCCCTATTTCCTCTAGCGGCTGTCTCATTGACAGCCGCTAGAGGCGCTTGCGTGCTTCTCACTGTGATTTTCACAGTGAGAGCACGCCAGCGTCCATAGGAAAGCATTATGAATGCTTTCCTATGTGACCGGCTGAATGCGTGCGCAGCTCTTGCCGTGCGTGCGCATTCAGCCGACGGGGAGGAGAAGAGGAGGATCGGAGGAAAGCTCTCCGCCCAGCGCTGGAAAAAGGTAAGTTTTATCCCCTTTCCCCCTTCCAGAGCCGGGCGGGAGAGGGCACCCTCAGGGCACTATAGTGCCAGGAAAACGAGTATGCTTTCCTGGCACTATAGTGGTCCTTTAAGGAAGAGTGCATAGATCTAAAACACATATATATCTTCTAAAAGTTGAACAATCATAACAAAAAAATTACTACATCCTTGCGGAATTCTCCACTGCATTAAACGTCATTCATATTTTAATGTGTGTTTAAGTAGACTTGTAATTGCTCGCGTGACAACTTAAAGTAATAGTCATGTCTCCCTTTAATGGAATTATAAACACACACACAGCTTTCTATCAAGTATCTGTGATCTTGAGATGCTCCACAGAAGTAGAACGTGTTGTTCACTTTAACTTTCATAATCAGTTTTCAATTACATAAGCTGTCTAGGATGGACGATGGCTGTTTAATATGGCAGGACTTTGTGTGGTTGTAATATGCAAAAACAGTGGAATATACATTACTTTAGTGTTACTCATTTGGTGAACTTTAAAATCTATATTAATGTCACTCTACTTACCTGAAACCATACTTCCACCATGTTTGAAAGGACATATCGTGTTCTTGTTTATTTACTTGAAAGACCTGTAGGATTTAGTATATTCCATCATTGATCTAATGGAGCCTGGCCCCACAGAAGAACATCTGGAACTATACATTAGACATTACACCAGTATTACACAATCTAGTTCATTTTACACGATATAGACATGTAAACCATTTAATATGCAATTTACAGACTGTTTAGGAACTACCAGAAAATAATACAATTTTCCAGTTGTGTAAACATAGTGGAGCCAAAGCATTACCTTTTGTGAATCGTAGAAGACATGTCACCTCCCTCTCACAGAGCCGATGTGAAAAGGCTGCTCAATCAGATGGGTTCCAAACTTAAAGGATCACAGGCAAAATGTGCTTCTCTAGCCTGGAGCCACCATTAAGGCTTCAGCCATGCAAAGATAATAGGGAAATACCTAAAATTGGTGCAATTTTAAGAAAACAAAAATAAAGTCCATTCATGACTGCATAGACCTGTTTGCATCAGAATAGTTCTGGCTGTAAGTTGGTGTTGAGTTGTGACTATGTGTCCCATTAGCACCTGATAAAATACCACCTATAGGAGAGTTCCATAATACCTAACAGAGCGTGCAGGTCATTATACTCACTGCTTTATTTATTTACCTGTAATATAGAAAGCCAGCATCAAAGGAAGGAGTCGCCATTTTGAATTGCCACTATGCAGTCAAAATCACCAAATGCCAACAGCTGAACATATTTTTATTGACAAACTTTACGCACTGCAGTGTTCTTTAAAGGGAACTGTCACTTCTCTAAAAATTACACCTATAACTTGAGTTAACCTTTCTTTATGAGATTTGCTGTTTTCTTTTAAAATTTACAGCCAGGGCCACACATTGCAAACAAAGAGAAAAATAGAAATAGAGACAGAAATCTATCAGTGTGGCCTACACATTTCCATCTAATGTTTATTTTTGTGCGATTTCTTATATCTGTCAGATTGTTTTCATCTAGTGAGGCTTTTTGTGCACAAACCATCATTTTTGAATATGTGCCTTTTTTGCCAATTAATTATGATTTTTTTTCCCCAACAGAAAACTGGCAGAATTTTCTGTTGCTACGCTGACTTTGAGGTTTAAAATATAGAGCTTGTAATGATTGACCGGGAGTTGTAGGATAAAGAGATTTGGATTTCTAACTGCAATTTTATTTTTTACAAGTCACAAATATATATTTTTTAGATATAGGGAAGGGGTTTGCTGGGGCGAGGAGGTCCCAAATATGGGGCTCTTTAACCCTGATCTTTTAGCTGGGAGTTGGAAGTGTATGCCCAAATCTATTTTTCCTAGTCTACTTCTTGAGTCCCATCTGAGCAGCACATATATGATATAGACGAGGGTGATGTGAGACTCAAACCACGTTCTCCCATCTCTATCATTGTGCTGCTTCCACTCCTGGCCGGTGATCAACAATGAAATAAGGAGAAAGAGCAGTATGGCAGAAAAAGTGGAGTGATTTAAGTGTTGAAAGAGCAGGGCCGCTGGCTTTCTGACTCCTCTCCATCACTCTGTGCATGCTACAGAGAGTGAGGCTTGTATCTGCCAGTCCTGCAAAAGTTTACCGGCTGCAGATCAATATCCCCCTGTGCAGAGCACAGGTGGAGATGGTGGGAATTTTTTTTTTTCTTTTACAGTGTGTGTTTTTCCTGTATAGTCTGCATGTGCCAGTTTGTGTATTGCTGTGTTATTGTAGCCTGTGTGTGTGTGCTTATGTTAGTGTAGCCTGTCTGTGATTGCCTATCTGGCCAGTCTGTGTTTGTTTGTGTGTGTCTGTGTTTATGTGATCCTGTGTGTCTGTCTGTATATGCCCTGTGAGTTTTCCCTGAATAGTTTGTATGTGCAAGTTTGTGTATTGCTGTGTTAGTATGCTTATGTCAGTGTAGCCTGTCTGTGTATGCCTATCTAGCCAGTCTGTGTGTCTGTCTGAATACAACTGTGTGTATGTGTCTTTATGCATGTATCAAAGAGTGATGGATAGATTGCAGGTATAATCAGGTAGAACTTTTAGAGGGGCCATATGCGGAGTCTTGATGAGGCTTGTTGGTCTTGGACTAAAGCTGAAGGTGTTTTTGGACCCTGATTATTAGGATGAAACATATTAGAAATCTGAAATGCAAGAGTTCCCCTTTAGGATGGTTTACATGAAAATAAATAAATACTAAATAATATTATTGAGATATAAAGTTTGTAGCTGGTTCTTTCACCTAATTATTTTGTTCCTTGAAAAAAATGAGTAAACTTCTGAGATACTGTTTTAGAGTATAATCACACTTACGGACTTGTAACATTTTAATTGGGTAATTTGGAAACTGCCATTCAATTTGCAGATAATTAATAACTCTTATCACTTCATTATAAGAACATTAATTCAGTGTTTTTTTGTTTGTTCTTTTACTCTTAAAAGTCGACACAGATGTTACAAACAGCATTTATTTCTGTAAAACATTCTTAATAGAAGGAAATTGTGCAACATTTAAAATGCAGTTCATTTTACAGTAATTATTGTGCTTGAATTCTATCAATTCCAATCAAACCAATGACAGAAACATCTGGCTCATCATGTATTTGTGAACTACATTTCCCAAGATGCTAAAAGGGCCTTGCGGCTCAAAGAGAAATGTAATTCATAAATATCAGCAGAGCAAAGGTTAGCATTGATGAATATAAACCTTTGTTTTATGAACAACGATGGCCACACAGAAAGTATCGTGATTCAGCATAAATATCCCAGAACAGGTTTATCCACTAAACTCCGAACTGCAGCAAATTAAAATCTGCATGTCAAAATTAACGCTAAGATAGTCAACCTCTGACTATAGCGGAGTTGGAGAATTTTTCCAAATCAGCTACTTTGCCTTCCGTTCTGTCATTTACATTTTGGCTTTCTACAATTCAGAGCTTAATGAATAATAAGGAAGTCCATTGCAAAATCCCTGATTGCATAATGAAATGCTAGATGTAAAGGTTTGTACTTAAAAAACAAGTTATACATTCTTTAGGTTGTGTGATCACTCTCTGCAAAAAGCAGAATGGGTCACAGTTGATCAAGCCATATCTAGGGTTGATCAAAGGGTAACAAAGGGTTACACTCTAAAGTGCTATAGTCAGGAATTCAAAGCAAATTTAAAATTTTAGGTCACAAATTCTCCCAGTCAGCAATGTTTCTAGATTGGAATATTTGGCCTAAAAATTCAAAAATATTCTTCTAAAAAATATCCACACTTTAGCGAAGAGCCATGTTGGTGAACTATATTTAAAAAAATAAAATAAAGAGGTAAAGTGCGAGGTGATTCATTCTGGGTTATTTGCTAAAATGGGAATTCAAAGTTAAAATCCAGAGTAGCGGAACTGAAAACCTTAAATTTGAAACTCATTTTGAATTATTACTTTAGTAAATAAACCTGAAATAATTATATAGACAAAGCCAGCCATTGTTTGCAAAAGTCACAAAAAGGGCTACCAATTTCTCCAAACAGTTGCACACATTGCTAATATTTAACATCTAATAACATCTTCAGACAAATGTTTGTGATTCTAATTGTGCCTAAAGTGCTTTGGAGAACTCCACTTCAAGAATATGCTTTTAAAGCAAAAGAAGCTATTAATTATGCAAAATTAGAAAAAATATTAAATATGAATTCTTGCGGTTTAGAAACGGAGAGAATATATATATAGATATAATGTGATTATTTTCCATTACATTGTATGTAAGTGCCTCATAATGGATCAGATATGGTGACAGAAGTATTCATTGGGTTGCCTTGCACATACAATTGCTCTATTTTTAGCTAAAAGAACCTTTAAAACCTTAAAACTGGTATTTTAGCTAATAATCAGCAATTCATGATATTTTTTCTTACAGGATGGTACTGGATGTTCCCTCTAAGCACTGCTCATTAGTGATTCAGTATTAGAAATGTAAAAAATTGGGTGGGGCGTGGCTGACCGCCGGACAAGATGGCCGACTAGGATTTTGCTCCGGCACCTGGGCTCCGTAATTCAGAGCAATACCGAGCAGAACCACCACTAACTGACAGAAAAGGCATGTCACAAGCAAAAGTAAAGAAAGCTGCACCGAAGGCAGATAAGCATCACTTTTTTGGGCAAAACCGTCCACGAGACAGTGCCAGCCGCGCAGGTCGCCGCACAAGATTGCGCCGGTGACTTGGGCGCGAGCTCCCCCCTCATGGCACTGGAAGACCAGCAAACAACAGAATGCCTCACAAAAGATCACCTTGAGCGTGCAATAGAGGCAATGTCAGCAAAGCTAATTCAATCATGGCAATCCACAGCCGACCAAATTAAAAGAGAAGTCAGGGAGCTCACGAGCAGAACATCTTCAGTGGAAGCACAATGCCAGGACCTAACAACAACACAAGCCGAGATGTCAGACCAAATACAGACCTTACAGCAAAAATTGGAAGGCATGGAAACCAGGATGGCGGACTACGAGGATAGAGCGAGGAGAAACAACCTGAGGCTGAGAGGGCTCCCGGAATCCGTCCAGCCTGATGACCTGCAGTTATACGTGAGAGGCTTAATGCATGCATACGTCCCTGACATACCGGCAGACATGTTGCTGATCAACAGAGTCCACAGGGTAACAAAGCCGAAACACCTACCTGACTATCCCACGAGATGTGCTGTTCAGAGCCCACTATTTCCATATTAAATAACTAGTACTCAAAGCTCACCGCGCTAAAAGGAATCCACATGACGAATATCCATCAGTGCGCATCATGGCGGACCTCTCAACAGCAATGCTTAAAAGGAGAAGGGACTTCCAGCAAGTCACGACGGAGCTGAGGAATCAAGGAATCCACTACAGGTGGGGCTTCCCCACGAAGCTCATCCTAACGAAAAATGGAAACACAAAATTCTTCACCACGCCAGAAGAAGCCCTGAAAGAGTTAGAGAGATGGGGCCCACACGACAAACAGGACTCCCCGCCTCCATCTTCCTCTCAAGGTCGCAACACCACAAGAAATGACCGCATGCACTAACCGCCATGTGGCAGACATATGCCGCAAGTATAATAATACCATAGTTAACTTCTTTTGATTACTGTTATTTATCACTGTTTCATTCTGTTCAGTCAAATTAATGCTGCTTCGAATAATAGCACCAGTATTATACGGGTAAGCCTAACTTATAATGTAACAACACATCTGACTGCAGCCAGACTAAAACGCTTAACAGTGGAGCAGCAGCAGCAGATCGGGAGGGTAGTAACTACTGAACCCAATAGAGGCATATACTCTTGGCCTACAGGCCTCAGGACCCCGCCATAACCGGGCTGGAGGCAACAGATTTGCCTAAACCCCAAGCACTACCCTTAGCAACACTCAACGGGCTAACTCCCCCCCCAGATGTATATAATGTGATACATTACCAATGGGAAGGATATGTATCAACTTACAATTACACAAAACCCCCACCAGAGGGCCTTAAGAAACAAAAGGGACAATGCCCACCAGCACATAGCTGCCCACCGTAGCGACGCTGCATAAAAGCATAACTTACTACTATAAGGAATACCACATCTAAGGCACTGTATATGTCAATGCTGTAAATAACTGGATCACACAAACGGTCACGCACACCGCACAAAATTAAACTCTACTCCCATAACACAAATGGGCTCAACACACCACATAAAAGGAGAATACTACTAAAAGATTTAAGAAACCATAAAGCGGACATTGTAGGCATCCAAGAAACACACTTCGCCACAAATCGAGTCCCCTCATTCGCTCTCCAAGACTACCCCACACAATACCACGCCACTCATTCATCCAAATCAAGAGGAGTCTCTATACTTCTGCACAAATCCCTAACAGTAGAGCTGCTACAAATAAAGAAAGATAGCCAGGGACAATTCCTGATTTTGCATTGCATACTAAATAATTTGCCACTTCTCTTGGTATGCCTATATAGTCCGAATGATCAACAAAGAAACTTTTTACACAAGGTCCTCACCAAACTACCGACTACACCTACAATCATATGCGGAGACTTTAACCACACCATGAACTCCCATATGGACTCCACGGCACCTGCCAGCTCCACTAGATACACTCAATTGAAGCCAACCAACAAGGCGCTATCAAAACTAACTCATGAATACAGCCTATATGATATATGGAGAACGCGTAACCCAAACTGAAGAGAATACACTTTCTACTCATAAGTCCACAAAACCTATTCTAGGATCGACCACATCATGACCTCTGCAACTCTCCTCCCAAACATCACAGACTGCTCCATAGGAAGCATAGTGTGGTCAGACCATGCCCCAATTACAATGACCATGCAAGACCAATATCAACATAGGGGAAGATCACCGTGGTGCCTTAACGACACTCTGCTACATAACACCAACTTCACCACAAAACTCTCAGACAACTTGAGGACCTACTTTGAGCTAAACAACTCTTCAGAAATCACAGCCACGATACTATGGCAAGCTCATAAATCTGTTCTAAGAGGATTACTAGTAACCCAAGCATCCTTCCTTAAAAGACAACAAGAACGAGAACACACAGACCTTCTCAGAAAACTACGTGATACAACTAATGAACACATCCTGAACCCATCAGAAGAACTTACCAAATCAACAGTCAACATTACCAATCAAATTAACACAATGTCCCTCAACAAGACGGCACACATACTAACAAAACTGAAGATGAAAACATACACACAAGGAAACAGAGCGGGAAAACACCTAGCAGTACTCCTCCGGCAGAGACAGGCGAATTCCAAGATCCCGTATCTGATGGCCAACACAGGAGGAAAGATACACAACCCAGAAGATATAAACAACGAAATGGCGAACTACTATCAATCCGTATACAATTTAAACGCTGATACTACCTTGTACCAACCCACCGATAGGGAAATTACTGAATTTCTTCAGCAAACGACACTGCCTACACTAACCTCAACACACAAACAAGCCCTAGAACACCCAGTGTCCTCACAAGAAATAATGGACGCGATACAGGCACTACCCCCGGAAAATCCCCTGGCCCAGATGGACTAACCAACGAATATTATAAAAATTTTGCTCCCATTCTAGCCCCATACTTAACCAAACTGACCAACCACACGCTCAAATTGGGAACCCTACCATCAGAGATGCTAATGGCACATGTCACCCTACCAAAACCAGGGAAACCCCCAAACAGAAGCCAAAATCTTAGCCCTATCTCCCTCCTAAACACTGACATCAAACTTATGGCTAAAATTTTTGCGAATAGATTGTCATCCATAATCCCCACACTAATCTGTGGGGACCAAGTGGGGTTTGTTAGCGGCAGAAAAGGGGCAGATGGCACAAGAAAGGTACTAGACCTCCTTTATGGAATGCGCGAAGGTAGGGTCCCGAGTGTCCTACTCTCGCTAGATGCTGAAAAAGCATTTGACAGGCTCCACTGGCCATTCCTACTTGCGGTTCTACGAAAATTTGAGTTCCCACCCAACTTCTCAGCCTGCTTTACTCCTCCCCTACAGCACTAGTAATAAATGGAGGCTTCATATCCAAACCCTTCACCATTTCTAACGGTTCCCGCCAGGGATGTCCACTCTCCCCGATACTCTACATTTTGGCGCTTGAACCTCTGACCCAACTGATCCGAGACGACCCGAACATACACGGAACAAACCTATAAAATGACACTATTTGCGGACGACATTCTGCTGTCACTGGAGAAACCACATATATCCCCCTGCCACACTTCCACAAAATATTAACCCAGTATAGCAGATGTTGTTACTACAAATTAAATATAGCAAAAACACAGGCCCTAAGTATAAATATCCCATCCCACGACTTGAACACCCTGAAAACAAAATTTCATTATGAATGGAGACAAGATCACATAAAATTCCTAGGGGTTAATTTCACACCTACTCCCGCCACTTTATTTAAAGCAAACTACACGAAACTCCTAGGAGAAATTAGATTCATCATGCAGAGTTGGAAGGGGAAATATATTTAATGGATGGGAAGAATCGCTTCAGTAAAGATGGTGATACTGCAAAAGATACAACACCTCTTTAGAACTCTCCCACTCATGCTCCCAACAAAATATCTTTCAGAATTACAAGAACAAATCAACACCTATATATGGGAAAAGCAAAACCCAGAGTAGCACGAAACACTATGCAAAGACTATTCACTCATGGCGGGATGGGCATGCCTGATGTGAGAGGATATTACCGAGCAGGTCAGATAGGCTCTTTGCTAACAATGTTTCAACACAAAGATACAATGGCCTGGGCCGAAATAGAGACGAACTATGCAGAAGGGCTCACCATGCCGATAATGGCCTGGCTGCCGAAGCAACACTGCCCAAGCAATAAACAACTACTACCGACAACGGTGTTAACCCTGACAATATGGGACGACTACCGCAAAAAAATGGGCCTGATGACAAAAATATCTCCAGCTCTCCCGTTAGAAGCACTAAGTGTAATCATCACAGACTTCAACTACAAAATATGTAACAGGCATGGCGTGCACACCCTGTCACAACTCCTGACGAACACCCGACTTAGACAACTACCTGATCTCCAAGGGGAGTTCCAGCTATCCGCAACAGCTACCTTCTCCTATAGGCAACTGCAAGCATGGTTCAATATGCAAACAAAGCAACTTGCGACACCCTCCCCAAGGCCAACCCTACTGGAAGTGGAAAATATTTGCCTGAAAATTAAGCCGGCGAAAAAATTAATCTCCTTGATCTACGCCTCGGAACATGGAAAGCTTAGACAACCTCCCCCCTCCTTTAAAGCAGCGTGGGAAAAAGACATAAAACACCCACTTTCAGAAGAGCAATGGGAGAGCATTTTCAGAGCACATAAACAACATAAACAGAGCACCCATGTAGAACTCTCCCGTAAAATACTCTACAGGTGGTAGACATATGCTGGAGATGCTGGAGATGCCAAACAGACAGAGGTACTATAATTCACATCTGGTGGCACTGCCCATGGCTTACAATATACTGGCAAGAAGTGGCAAAACTAGCAGCTCAATGTTCCAAAATACACCTCCCACTCGTGCCTGAAACCTTTCTCCTGCTCTTACTACCACCCAAAGTACATAAAAGCCACAGATATCTCTTATACCACATCATCATAGCAGCTCTGGCATGACTTTAGCACAAATTTCTCACTACACTACGACTAAGAAAAAGGCAAACCTAGCAACCGCACACCACTATGCCACGTCCCCTCCCCCCCCCATCTACCACTACCAAATATCACTCTCCCTCATTAGAACAGCACAACATAAAGAGAGCCTAGCACAAGCAGCCCCCAAAGCAAAGAGCTATGAACGCTATCGTACGACCAATCGCTCCACAAGCCGCAAGAAGGCTTACCGCAGCCATGCAACGGCTAAATCAGACACCACCACACAGGACAGCTCCACCACCTAAAATGCCCCTCAACCGTGCCAAAACCCAAAAGGGCATAATCTACAGACATATGCATATTTAAATATCTAATTGTATGTATCACGGTGCACAGGAAATGGAGCAATCCACAATTCAACCCAATAATGATTTATTCATGATGTACAAGCCTGTAGACTCGATACAAAAGACTAATGTGTTTATGATATAATGCGTTGATCACATGCTCCTATTGAATAACCACTGCATAAAACTGCTGTTCCCACCCCTGATCTTTTTTTCTGTATCCTAAACCTTTTGCACTTCGACAAAAATAAAAATTGGCAAAAAAAATAAAAATGTAAAAAATTAAGTCTGCATGAAGTACCTTTTTGTTCTGTAACCACATTTAAAGAAGCTGTAAAGAAAAAGTTAAAAAGTTAAAAAAATAAATAAAATAATAATAATATTAGCAATTCAGTGCTCACAAAAAAAAGTGCTTAGAGGGGATCCCAGTAATAATCTCAATAGAATTGGTGATGGGAACATTTAGAGATGAATGAGTTCAGCTACCTCCAAAATCTAGCAAACAGTATTTTGGTAAAACATATATATATTTATATATATATATATATATATATACACACACATACACACACATATATATATATATATATATTTTTTTTTTATTTTTTTTTATATATATCCTGGCCTTGGGTTTGTCTTTGTACAGTAGAGATATTTAGATTTTATGTGATCAGAGAACCAAGTTCTCTTCACGTTTATAGAGATAGAATGTTAAGGAAAGAAGGACATTGTGTAAACTCCTCTGACATTTAGAGCCAAGAGTAAAGAGTTCTCTAAAGATTTCACACAGACACAAGCAGAAATCAAATCATTGTGTTTGTCCACGTACCTATGGTTTAAAAAAATTCATATACATATTTACCAGCATTAAGGTGAACTTCCAGGTGTATAATTTTGTTACAGCTATCCATTTAGTTTGTCAGCTACTATGTGATGTCTTGAAATAATAAGCTATTCATTTAAATAATCAGAAGTTCAGATCATTGGTGGACCCGGGGATTTACATCTGACTGGGATTACTGACTAAGGTTTTACCCCCACTCTGTCCCCTAATGCCTGTATCGAAATTGTAGTCAGAGCCTCTAGTTATTAAGCCTACTATACATACAGGGTAAAAGGGGCATTTAATTGATTTGTCATATATAAATCATTGGTTTGTCATACATAAATCATATATTGTCATATATAAATCATTGATTTGTCATATATTGATTTGTCGTATTAGGACATCGGTGCCAGTGTCATAGCAGAAGCTGCATGCCTGACTGTGTGTAGGTTATGGTCACTGTATTCATATTTGGAAATATGTTTATCTGTGTTTGTGTGGACGTATGTGCCCACCTTTTAGAATCTGTGCAACTCATGCATTTGGGCTCTGAAGCTGCCCCAAGTTCAGACACGTCGGAATGAACTACAAAACTAACCAATACTGCCTGTAGATTCTCTGAAAGAAAATGCAATATTTAAATAACAATGGAACATTTTAAAGAACATTAGAATTGTTGACTGGGGTACACTTCAAATAACATAGAATAGATTGTGATATCCAAACTTCTGGAAAACATATTTAAGTGTTAATTTACTACTAAACCAGGATTTGCAGAAAATTGACAGATTCCATTTCGAAAAATTCTACTTTTTATCTCCAGCTCAACTATTTTGCCCTAATATTCCAGGACTATTGATTTAATGTTGTGCTTTTAAATCTATGCTGTTCACATGAAAAGCAGGAAATGTACACTGTACAGGTTAGCTAGAGAACTCCTAATGCTGTCTGGGATTGCAAATGGCATCAGCAGAAAAACTTGACATTTAAATATCCTTCCTGGACCAATCAGAAATTGCATTAATGGATGACTCAGTCTATTATAAGTCTCTTATCCAATGAGTAAAGCTGTGCATTTGGAAAGAAAAACAAATAAAAAATTCATAATATATATAGATATATACTTATCAAATATTCTTTGATACAAGCACAAATACAAATAGATTTACTGGTATGTTAAATATCTTTGTATATATTAATTCCTTCTTTTAAATACTGGAAGATTTTTAAGTATTAAAAAAAACGTGCTTTTAACTTTTTTATTTTTTTTTTATTTTGCAAAGTATCAAGTCTATTGGACAGTTCCTCTGAGGCTTGCAGAGATAAGTGGAAAAAAATACAGTTTCAAAGAGTGATGATATAGTTCTCCCATTTGACAAAACACATTTTTTATATTAAATATTCAAAAGTGAATTGATCTCCATTCCAGGTTCGGAATGATAATACTAGTTCGGTAGATCTCAAGAATGCGGACAATGCCCAAGCCATCTAAACATTGCTGAAATGTCTCAAAGATCTGAATTTATAGGGGTTCATGCATACATTGGAAGAACAAAAATAGAGGTCCACACTGTGGTTGCAAAATCCGAGATTATATTCCATTTCATGTAAACCAATATAACGAGGCTGCGTTTTCGGCTGCCTTAAGCTATTGCGGATTGAGACAGTTTTTGTAGAAGTGCAGCTTGTTCACACCTAGACACCTTTGGAAGATAGTAGGCTATCCCTTGAGAACTTTAGGGAAAAGGTCAATGTGTTGCCTGCCCTTTCAGTACTGAGAGGGGTTAGAATCGCCTCTACATTCTTGTGGATCTGTCCAAAATTTGCAGCAAGTTTTGGAGCTTCCATCAAGTCGGCAGAGAGAGAGAGAGAGAGGAGACAAGACATCTCCGGTGCCCCATTAATACTGGGCACACTGATGCTTTCTCAACTTTGACCTGCGGTCGGTGACATCAAAAGTCATCGCGGCACATTGGTAAGTTGACAAAAGTAAACACATTGAACTCGATTAATACGGAAAAACACAGGAAGATAGCGTAAAGGACAAGGACGTAGAAACCAAACCTCCGGTCAAGTTGCCACTTATTGAAATGGACACCAGCCACCTGCAAAAGAAGAGAGCAGGACAAATAAGTCAATGTGCATAAACACAAATGCCACAGTCCACACCACCATCCACAATTTCCGAAATTCAGAGCAGAACAAACATTTCATTGAAATTTAAAATGTATGCAAACAACACTGTACAAAGCTGGAGACAGTGGGACGATCAGTACTGTACAAATGTCTGATGCCCTTACTCCTAATATAACAAGTTTGATATTTATTTACCAGAGTGGCTTTTTTGCTCAACCTCTACCATGTGTATAACAACAAAATAAAAACTCTACAGTAAAAAGTAACAAATATATGTATTTAAAACAAATGATTAAAAAGGTCTTCATTAGAATGTAAAACTGAATGAAGACTTGAAGCAACAAAGCATAATGGAAACAACACAAAAGCCTGCTCCTGAGGATCAGTACATTAAAAATACAGTGAAAATAAATGATTTGGTTTGTTTCCTCTATAGTACATTTTTCCTGTTATCCATACAATAATATTTCATACACTGCAATCTATTTTGAGTTTGCCTTTCCCGCAAAAATGTTTCTAAACTACAAAAAGCCTTGAGAGAATATTTTTGTAAGAATTCTTCTCACGACTGAAGTGTGTACTTGGGTAGCACTTGAATCCGCCAGATTCTTAGAAAAAAAAAAAATACACACTTCACTTTACACAGAGTTTATCTTCCGCTATGTTTCGTAAATTGTTCTTCAATTTTACATTCTAAGAGCAGACCGACTTGTTCTGAAAATATAAGAACTGTTATTCATTCATTATGATAACATTGTGCTTATTTGATTATTAATTAATGTCAATCACAGCATGCTTAATTGACCCAAGCCCTGCGTGTTTAGGACGGATTTTTCTCTCTTTAATATTGGTGTCAGTCTACTATTCTGTCTATCTATTAAAATAAACTATTTACTCAAGAACCGTGTTAATTTCTTCTTTTTGTTAACAATATTTGGATATAATTTTGCAAAGAATAAAACATTTGATTCAAAGATAAATGGCTTTATATATTCAGATTGGGGTGCCACTGTAAATATATTGCAGTTTGTGAAATTTTTTTTGCACCTTAATGGCGACTAGTCCAGTTTTTGTCTCTGCACAAAAAAACAGAAACCATGTGGAGTAGAAAAAGAGGAACATCAGACTGCTTGAGAGAGACTTGACTTGTGATAACTAGTCGATAAACTACTAGTAGCAATAATGATAAAAATATAAAAACTGACCATGAAGAGTCATCTTAGCCACTGAGAATTTAGGCAATGTAGCTGATGCAAATTAGACTTTCCTGCACAGTCCTGCTATAGGGACACTTGATAAAATGTTATCCTTACCTGCAGGCCGGATTTCCCAGAATATCAGGAATATCATCTCATACTCCAGGTTTACAGCAAGACGCTTAATAATAAATATAGACAGGAACAGACTGACAGCAGTCTGGAACTACAGCGCTAAATTATTCCTTCGGTGTCCAGACATCCAATATGCATGCATACATCTGCATCAATGGGTATTTGTATTTGAGTATATTGCGTGTATGTGTGTGAATATAGGCATTTTCATGTACTGCGAATAGGTGTATGTGATGCAGGAGTTCAATCGAGCTTAATGTGAGAATGCCAGGGTGTATTTTTGTATATGGAAAGTAACTCCGGTAGCTGTGTTACTGTGTGATTGCAGATATGTATTTGTATGGAGTGGCTGTCAGTATAAAGGCTCAATGTGAGTAAATGCAAGGGTGGATATATTTTTCTTACCAGTTTTAAAGAGAAGATTAGTGGGAATTTTACACTTAAATAAACATAACCACTAGGGTTGAGACTTATTAATACAATGTGTGTTATTAACATCTGAGGAAAGGGATTTAGGGGTAATTATTTCAGATGACTTAAAGGTAGGTTGTATAAGGAGAGGTATTAGCAGTAGAAAGAGGGAAGTGCTCATGCCATTGTACAGAACACTGGTGAGACCTCACTTGGAGTATTGTACGCAGTACTGGAGACCGTATATTCAGAAGGATATTGATACTTTAGAGAGAGTTCATAGAAACATTTAAATACATAAAGGGAATCAACACAGTAAAGGAGGAGACTATATTTAAAAGAAGGAAAACTACCACAACAAGAGCACCTAGTCTTAAATTAGAGGGGCAAAGGTTTAAAAATAATATCAGGAAATATTACTTTACTGAGAGGGTAGTGGATGCATGGAATAGCCTTCCAGCTGAAGTGGTAGAGGTTAACACAGTAAAGGAGTTTAAGCATGCATGGGATAGGCATAAGGCTATCCTAACTATAAGATAAGGCTAGGGACTAATGAAAGTGTTAGAAAAATGGGCAGACTAGTGTCTGTCATCATGTTCAATGTTTCCATGTTATCTATCCACACTATTCAATGTTTTCCGTCTTATTGTTCACATATGCTCTGAATATAAGCTTTCATAATATATTAATACCCTATAGTACTTACTGTAAGGGCCACCGATGCCAACAACAGTATTACAGAATACACCAAGCCTTTGCTGTTAATCTTCACCTAAAAAAATAAATAAATGCACAAAATCAGGATCAACTATAAAACCGATATTATAAATTATTAATAGGGAGTATCATGCAACAGAAATCAAGGAAAAACCTCAATACCTATGAGCTGGATTTGTTTTGGCAAAACAGTCTGTCACTGTGTTACATTATTTCATTTTTAAAATAACGGAAGTTTTTATGAAACAGAGTTTGACAAATGGTACAAATGTTTTTTTTCTCGTTTTCCATTTACTCTTATTTTATGTATTTGTAAGCATACTACACAATGTTTAACACTCAAAACCCCGGGGAAATGGATTAGAGAAGTTCATTTTTTATTAAACGTTTAAACATTAAAAAAACATGTTCCATAACACTAGGGTTTCTTTTATTTTTACATTCTTTATTTTTGCATTGCAAGAATTTCCAGACATGCTTGTGATGCCATGACAGCATTGACAAAAATGACAAGCTTTCAATAGTACAGCACTACGGAATCTGAATGCGCTGTATAAATAATAAAATAATAATAATAATAGTGTATATATTGATACATAGGCATGGCATGTAGGGGGCCGAATGGTTCTTATCTGCCGTCACATTCTATGTTTCTATGTTTCTGTATCTGCCAAGCTGCATGCGTTAGAGAATTTGGGCTTACTGAGGCGTCATCTGCAACCCTGGCGAGATCGGGAACCAGCTCCAAACATCCACAGACCAACTTCATTAGACGGAAGCCTATGTGTCCCAGGTGGTGGTGCTGCACTCCGTTGCGTGGGTTGCAGATGGTTATACAAAACCTGGTTCCCTGCTGAGGAGAAGAGCACCAAACCGATGCAGTGGCTGGGGGCTGTGCTGGAAACGTGGTCAGTGTAAATTGCTTTCTCCGATCTTCCCAGCCCTTCCAGAACTGCTGACACATGGCTTCAAACAATGCAGAAAATTCTGTTCCCCATTTTCGAGCAGCAATAGCTGTTCTGTCGGCCATCTAGGACAGGCCACAATCCTTCACAGGATTCACTCAGGAGCGACACAGTATTTGCTTGGTGGAGGCTGGGATAACTCCCACCGGATCAGAAGGGGGGATTACAGGGAAAGCCGGGCAACCACAGGCGGAGAGATCATCCGCTTCTCCCACCGAGTGTACACCAGGCCTTTGCCCAGAAGGTGCCAGGTGAGGGTACCAGTGTGGGATAGTCCAGTTTTAGGGATTTTTCACCCTTAACGACACATGACATGTGTGACATGTCATGATTCCGTTTTATTCCAGAAGTTTGGTCCTTAAAGGGGGTTAAAGTCGCTTTTAATGCAAGATTGGTCTGGAGCTCATTGTATCTTGAGTCCACTTTGGTTAGAAGCACTGCTTGTCTGACCAAAAACCATGCAGGTAATCATGAGTGTGTTAATCTGACCTCCAGCCAAAGATATGGAC